GACCCAGCAGTTCCACTACTAGGAATATACCCCAAAGAGACCATAACTGACATCCAAGCAGATATATGCACACCCATGTTCATCGTGGTTTTGTTCACAATAGCAGGGAGATGGAAACAACCTAAGTGCCTATCAACAAATGAATGGATAGAGAAGCTGTGGTATATTTACACAATGGAATACTACGCTGCATTGAAAAACAAGGAACTCATGCAATATTATTCAAAATGGGTGATCCTGGAAGACAATATGCTGAGTGAAATATCTCAGTCACAAAAGGATAAATACTGCATAGTGCCACTGTTGTAGAATGGAACTGACCTCAGGTTGGATAAATTATGTATACTGCATTGAAACAGATGAAGGAAAGAACAGTTTAAAAATGATATATGATTATTATGGTTATGACAAAAGTCCAGAATGAAGGTTGCATAGTGGAGTGTACTCGGGGTGGGGGAATTGTATACCAATGAAGGAATTTTTCTTTTACTTTTCAAAGAGAAGAGCAAGCTGGGAGTGAGGGGTGGACAGGGAGAAAAATGCAACGCTGAATGAATGGAATTCCAAAATCTCTCTAAATGTTCATTAAAATTAGTAAAATAAAATAAAAATATATAGAGGATAGCTGCATCCACAGATTTCAATTGCATGATTATTTCTTCACCTGCTCTTTCTCTTTTCTTTCTCAAATAACCTCTTTCATATATGGTTCTAGATAGAATTTATCCTCCTTGTATTTTGTCCACTGTTCTTTTTTTCTTTTTACTTTTTTACTACTTTGTCTGAGCTTTATTTTTAAAATAAAGATTAAATAAAAACTGAACATAAAAATATTCTGTAACAGCTCTCCACCCCTGAAAACTCAAAAGACCATCAGGTTCTTTCACAGCTAAATTTTAACAAATTGCTCATGTTTTAGAAAGCTGAGTCCAGTAGTAACTCTTTCTTAAATTTTTTTCTTTTATTTTAATAAATTTAATGAACATTTACAGAGATCTTGGATTTCCATTCATTCATTGTTGCAATTTTCTCCCTGCCTAGCCCCCCTCCCCTCACCCCCTGCCAGTTTGGTCCTCTCTTTGAAAAAGTAAAAGAAAAATTCTTTCTTTGGTATACAATCCCCCTGCACCCTTTTCACCGCCCCAGGTACAGTCCACTATGCAACCTTAATTCTGGACTCTTGTGATAACTATAATACCCTATCATATATCGCTTTTAAATTATTCTCTCCCTCATCTATTTCAATGCAGTATACATAATTTATCCAGTTTTTCTCAGTCTTTCTCCAACCCTGATATCAGTCCCACTCTACAACAGTGGTACCATGCAGTATTTGTCCTTTTTGTCCACTGTTCTTTAGGCAAGATCTGTTGACTCATAGTCAGGTCCAGGGCTCTTTTTATGTGAAACAGTCTATAATTATAAAGGTGCTCAGAAAGCCTTCTTATGGCTTCTTTTACATTCTCATTATGTATTGTATCCTCTTGCAATAATATTAATTCATCGAGTCCTTCAGCATTGTAATGCCATTTTTGAATACTATCTAGCCACCAGCCTGAGGCTGCAATGGTACATCAGCCTACCATCTTGACCCCAACTGTGTTTTGTGAAATGAATCACCATTGATCTATGGCCACTATTACCTTGTCTTTCCAGATCCCCATTCCTTCACCCTAATCCTATCCTAATTCCTTAATTCCTTCCCTCTGCCCACCAGACTGTGTTAACCTAGTGATTCCCTCCCCTCCCTACACTCTCCTCCTCTGCTCCCTCCCCTTCCCCTTTATACTTTTATACACATATTACTAATTATCCTTCTTTTTTACAATAATGGCTTTATACAGTATTTGTCCTTATGAGACAATTCCTTATATCACTGCTGTATAGTATTCCATTGTGTGAATGTTTCATAATTTCTCAATCCATTCATTTGTTGAGGAACATTTGAGCTGTTTCCATTTTCTTGTGAATAATGCTACTGTGAACATGTTGTTGTGTTGTTGTTATGTGCCGTCGAGTCGTTTGCGACTCATAGCGACCCTATGCACAAAAGCCCTAAATCCTGCTCTATCCTGTGCCAACTGCACTGCCTCTGACACACCCATCCCGATT